GAGTTTCCCATGTTGTGGATGAACCTGTAGGCACCTAAATATCCCAGCTTTCCCCATTCAGAAGTTGTTATAGGTAAGCAACGTAGTACTGGGATTCATGAGAAATTGTGTCCTCCTTTCCTGAGCAAGAATAGAAATTAGTAAAAATTTCACTCTTCACCACTGGAAATGTGACTGGATGCTATCTAAACTACTAGTTACTTCTAGTACTACTAGTCCCTCTAAAGCCTGAATGCATGTGTGTATTTTAAGCATTTCTCAGCTGTGTCTCAAATGTCCTGAGAAGGCTTCCCAGAATCCCATTTAGACAGAAGGATCCCTTATCTCCCTGCTCCCCACCCCACCATGTCACCTGTTTGCTGCTTCCGTTATTTTACCAAGTTCCCTTCCTGGCCAAGGGTGGTGTTAGAGTGCCATGAATGCTCTGCGGGCCAGTCTGAGCTAACATCATCTGCCTGAAGCCTGCCTCTGCTCCCTCAGAGGACGAGTTACTTTTACAGGACGGTCTTGGGAGTACTCAACTGATTCTGTGTTTGCTCTAATCACAACAAAGCTAACAACTGGGGCTTATTCCAAGATCAGCTGTGAGTTTAGAGACTTCCCCAAATGGATTCATGTAAGTAAAGACCAAGCGTTGTCCCATCAAATGGATCCAGGCTGCTCATCGTAAAAATGGATTGGTAGGCCAGTCATCTGGATCTCAATCCCAAACATTGCCCATGGTGCACCCAGGTTAGTTTGCATAATGCAAGAATGGAGAACCCTTTGGCTTGACAGTGGCCTATTTTTAGAGGCAGTGTATTGGTTAGGAGACAGTCTCTAGAACCAGACTCCCCAGGTTCAAATCCACCTCTACCAATCAAAACTATGCAAATTTGAACAAATTGCCCATCATCTGTTTCAGTTACCTCATCTGTAACATGGAATTAAAAATATTCCCTCCCTCTAAGGGTCCTCATGAAGATCAAATGAGTTACTATGCATAGAGTGCTAGAACAGTGCCTGGCGTGTAGTAAGTGCTAGAACAGTGCTAGCAAAACAAAGAACTTGGCAGTCCTTGGGCATCACCACATCCCAGTCTCCTGTCTTCATTAATCCCAGAATCCTAAAGTCCCCGGCTTCTGCTTTTGTCCAGAGGGGTATGTGGGCTGGGTTGGCAACAAGTCAGTTCTCCTTTGAATTGCTAGGGCTAGACCACCACCCACTTTGTTGCTCCTTCCCATTTTTCTGAGCATCACAAAAGGTAATATTCATGTGTCAAGGGATCCAGGATTGTATTTTAACATTTTACGGCCTCTTTGTAAAGCTACCTTTTCAATTTTAGAGGAGGCAGTTTTATGACTCCCTTTGATAACCACTTAACTATTAAGACCCAAACAAAGAAGAGGAATGGTCAAAGGATATCAGGTACTCCCAGCCTGCTAGAGTCCTACTTCTTGAACATTATTCAAATTAGCTGCAGGACTCATAATTCTGTGTTTTCATTTATTGCTGCAGTAAAGTAAATGGTTCTTTTATCCAAATGTTATTTCCTGGCTATTAATTCAGTAGTTATTTTGGATTGTAGCACTCTTCTTTGATTTAGGGATATGGTGCCTTATAAATATTTAAAAGTTGAAGACTGACACTTAGAGAAATTGACTTTGATTTGTTTTGTTAATATCCTATGGCTAGAGTAATTATAGGTTTGGAAGTTGTGGTCTCCTTCTCTTCTTATCAGAAGAGATGGGGATGTGTCTCTATAACAAGGAAATTTGGCAACAGAAGGCTCTTCCCACATCCTTTTCAGACTAGATCTCTGTGCACACCTGAGAGGACACGCACTACTTTTTAGTCTTCGTAATTTTCTCCAGAAACTGCTCTTGAACCCAGGAATGTGGATGAAAACTATCCATACTTCTCAAAATAGCTGAAAATGGTCATTCCTGAAAGGCTTGGGACTTTCTCTGCATCTACAAGTGCCAGCAAGGGTTTACGACAGGGCTCAGGGTGATCTACAGACTGGGATGATTTAACTGTGGATCAATCAACCTATTAGGGAAAAAAAGACAAGGTCAATAAGGATGGGTCTTGGTGAACCAGAGGTCATCCTACATTTTTCAACCTAATGTTCTTATTTCCTTTCCATTAACATTTCATAATGAAAAAATGCCTATATTCTTTAATTTTTAAGATAATTAAGTGAATTTAGTGCCTTTGAAGGGTAGAGGATTTATAATGGCATCAGGGAATACACTATTAATAATCTACAAGACAAGGGCCACCTGGAGAACAGCAAGGCAGTCTCCAGCACCAATTCAGAACCGAACTCCCCGCCTAAAACCAGAAAGACTTGTGTCTTTTGGGACAGAGCTTCTACCCTCTTGGGAAGTGGTTTTCCAGTTGTATTTGAGTTTGAATTTTAACAAATTACAACAAACACAGAACATTCTAAGTACGTGGCTTCTTTGTATGCAAAGCCCTGAAACGTGTGATGGAAGTAGAGAGTGGTTCTAGGGTTTCTCTAAGGGAAAGAAACATGGCATCTGCCTCTAAGATTGTTACAGCCTAATAGCGAGGTAAGGATTGACACAAGTGAACACACGAGGGTACAGAACAAGAGAAAGAGGTCTGCACAGTTGTAGTGAGGCACATGCACATAGAAACAAAGGGACTACAGACCAAAGGCTGGCTTACCTCTGAGTTCTCCAAGCTGATCACTTAAGGTATAGTTTAATAAAGATAATTTCAATGATTTTTGGATAAAGATAGTAAACACACTCATTTTCTTTTGTTCCTTCCCCAAACTCCATTAAAACAACAATAAAGGGATATATTTTTTAAGGCCTAAATTCTCAAAGGCAAAGAAATTGGAAGAGGACTTGACAAAATTTTGAAAGCTAGAATATAGATGGGTGAATATTAAATAATTTAGCAAACCCAAGAAAGCCAAAATGAGCTAGCAATGGGAAAAGCTGAGAGGCAAACAGATTTATACCACAAACCCCTCCCCCTAAATAGCTCAGGAATTGACAAATTAAATACCTTTGGAAGTGGGGATGAAGGTGGGGCTATAAGCAGGAAAACAGCAAATCAAGGAAGCAATTAGATCTCTAGATCCTTTGTTCCACTCCTCACTCTGTAAAGACTGGAGGCTTATGCTCTGAAGAGGGTATAACAGCAGGTCTTTGGGTCAGAGGGACAGCATTGCAGAGCTGGAGGGTAGGAGTAAGGCTGAAAGCAGGGAGATTGAATGAAGAGTTATAGACCAATGCTGACGCTCCTCCTCCAACCCCCTTCCCAGCCACGCTCCACCCAGAAGATTCTTCTCTGTGGAATCTGAGTAGCAGAAGAGGGAAGACCTGAAGATAAGAACATTTGGTGTCTTCCCCAAGGAAACAGGTCAATCAGCTCCTCCTACAGATAAGCCCCCAGAAGCTCTAATAGAAGCTTTAGAGCCCTACTTTTAAACAGGAGCTGAAAAACAAAGATTACCACACAGCTGGGGAAAACCTCTGCTACCTCTAAATCCTCTAATATAGTAAAGTGATTTATTGAAAGACAAGCTGATTAAGAAAGAGACTAAACCATCAGTGGATGAATGGATAAAGAAAATATAGTATATACATACAATGGAATATTAGTCAGCCTTAAAAAAGAGGAAATACTGTCATATGGTGCAATGTGAATGAAGCTTGAAGACATTATGCTAAGCGAAATAAGCCAATCAGGAAAAGACAAACACTGTACTGCATGATTCCACTTACACGAGGTATCTAAGTAGTCAAACTCGTAGAAACACAAGGGAGAATGGTGGTTGCCAGGGCCTAGGGGAGGGGGAAATGGGGAGTTGCTCATTGGGTACAGAGTTTCAGTTACGCAAAATGAAAAAGTTCCAGATATCTATTAAACAACAGTGTATATATAGTTAACAATACTGTACTGTATTTATATATTTGATCATGTTCTTCTATGTTGTGGGGAATAACCAGTGTTTAGATTTTAGCCGAGAGGTGTAAACTCCCATGGAGGAGCATGGAGTTGGGAAGGAAGGATTGATTATATGGTTTCCAGAATGCTTAGAGTGACCAGAGTTGGATTTCATTGCTCAGCCAAAGGAGTTTCAGGGTATAAATTACTCCCTGGGAATATACACCCAGTGACTAGGCTAAAAATATGAATACAGAATGTCCCTGATAACCTGAAAACATAGAAAAGATTCCCTTACCAAGAGTGGCCCAAAGGACATAGTAAACCCAATCAGCATAAAGAAAAATGATTCCCAAAGATTTTTTCTTCCTTTTGAGTTAAGTTTAAGGCAACTGATTGACAGCTGCCTAACATGAGTGTTTTTAAAACCCTGACTATGACCAGGGTTGTAATTACGTTGTGATGTTTATATAGAATGAAGCTAAACGATATTGCAAAGTTATTCCTTCAATGAAACATATGCTTATGCTAACCCTCCAAACATCTCTATTTTATTAAGAAAACTATTTTGCACCAGAGATGTGCTGTCTGATTTTTTCCATCCTTCTGAATATACAGAACATGTGTGTAACAAAGAGCACATGCACAGCTACAGGATATAAGGATATAAGAATCAAGGCAAAGTGGTGTATTCCCATGTCCTTCTCCTGAATAGCAGCAATTAAAATTCACAGCTGCTGGCTGCCCAGATGTTTCTTGCATTTAGTGCTGTGTAATATGCATCAGAATATATTGTATGACTGCAGTTTCAGTAAACTAGACAGCTTTGTATTCTAAATTCTGCAGACTAGATCCAGTGTATATATTTTTTCTTCAGATTAGCTTCCCTCCCCCACCCCCCTTCATTTGCTTGGGGCATTTGCAGTTCAGAAACAAAAGACGTTTCCAGCTCAGAGTTTAGCTGTATCAGAGTGTAAGTGCAGGTCAGGTCTGATTTATGTGGCACATCTGATAAGCAGGAAAGGAGGGCAAGATGAGGGGTTTGGAAAAGCAGGTGAACTTGGCTTGACTTATATCTTCCCCTTTTGTAGGCAGCCAACATCCCTCTGGTGTCAGAACTTGCCATTGATGACATACATTTTGATGACTTTTCTCTCGATGTTGACGCCATGATCACAGCTGCTCTTCGGATGTTCATGGAGCTGGGGATGGTACAGAAATTTAAAATTGATTATGAGGTAAGATGTTCTGTGTTGGGTGATCCCAGGAGTGCATCTGGACAATGTGGTAGCCACTCTGAGCCTCAGGTTTCCCAAATACAAATTGGAGATGATAATTCTTTCCCTGCACACCTCATGGGATTACCATGAGAATCATATGAGAGGTTTGGGGAAGGACTTTGATCATTGATGGTTACTAGGACAGAAGGCATTGTTTTGATAATGGGCCACTGGAGACACATACACTGCCTGACACAACCTTTCTCTTCCCATTTCAGACACTGTGTAGGTGGCTTTTGACAGTGAGGAAAAATTATCGAATGGTCCTGTACCACAACTGGAGACACGCCTTCAACGTGTGCCAACTGATGTTTGCGCTGTTAACTGTACGTATGCTCAGTGACGCGGAAGGTCGTCTGTCACTCGTGTGCACCTATGGGCCTTGTCCTTCACGTTCCGTTTCTCTGACAAGTTGCCGTGTGCTTTATCTTACGCTGGAACTTACCTGCCCTGGCTATGGGAGCATATATTTCATGACAATTTCTGAGCTTTAAATCACCGACACTCTGAAACAGGTGTAGTCTTGGAATGATTGCGTCAGCCTCTTTTCAATGTTTTATCTCGGGAAACTGGTTCTTTTTACAAAAGAAATGCTTAGATTTTCAAAGTAATCTTTTCACAGAGGACATGGGAATGAGTGACAGAACAAAGAGATTACTAGATAAGACTCTCTAGGCTGGTGGAAAGCCAAAGTAGGACTGTGTGAACACTACCTACAGGGACACAGAAATCCTGCGAGAATGCTTATCTGGGAAAATGCCCGGGGTGGCCAGGGAAGGAAGGAGTGGGAGCGAATGCTCTCAGGGTTTAGGGGCACGCTAGGCTTAAAATATCTGCCCTGGGGCTGTCACCCAGTGAGGGTGGCCAGTCTGCTTTTTGGAGATAGCTATGGCAGCTGGCCAGAGGTAAGCCTTGGAATTTAATCTGAAAGCAAACATTTATGGCAAAGATTGAAACAAAATCCTCTATTCTTCTCCATTTTGCTGGCAGGAAATAAGGCTTGTTTTGGCCTTATTTTCACTTACACTGTTAAACTATCATCAAGTAAAATGTTTTCTGGCTTAAATATATTGGTTACTTTGGCCTCGTGGTTATATATACCTACATATGTATACATACGTGTGTGTGTGTGTATAAACATATTTACATTACAAAAAAAGAGAACATAAGTCTTGGATGCTCAGAACATAAATCTAAATACCTTACATCTTTACACCCAGACTAAAATTTAAACCCGAAATAGAGAACTCCAAATGACACGTTTTCCTTTGTTCCAAGTGAACGAAGACTATTCTACTCCTTCATGAAATGCTCTGCCTATTAAAATTTTACTCATCCTTTAAGGATTAAGGATTAAGGGTTGGTCTAATGTCAATTTTCCCACAAAGTCTTCTGCTTTCTCCCCAGGCATCAATAATTGCTTCTTTCTCTGCACCATGTCTAGTACAACGTGTCTTTCTTTCTGCTGTGTATTTTAAGTTACAGATCTCTCATTCTCCTATAGAGTAAACTGCTTGAGGCTGAAGAAATAATTTCTTATTCTTTCAATAACATCCACTTATTTGCTCAACATCATTTATTGAAAGCCTCACCAGCACCTTGCAGCCTATCACACACTTGGCAGGTTTTCAACAAATGCATGCTGGATTGACTTGAACTCAAATGTGCATATAGCATAAGAAGATAGAACCAAAATATCTTCACTTTTATTCTCAGGATCTTGGTTTTTGGGGGGTCCTCAACTGCTTAAGGAGCAAGCAGACTGGCCTGGAAAAACTGGAGTGGCCCTGTCCTGTTGCATACACCATGAAAGCAGTCAGCCAGTCAAGTGAGGAAGGAAGATGCTTTGAACTATGAGGCTTAATTGTCCAAGTGCCAATGTTGCTTGAAAAAAAAATCATCACTTTCATTTTGCTTTTCCATCAGACCTCAGCAGACTAGGAATAATTTTCTCTGTGCAGAGTTCATGTGTCTGGCTCACAGAGGCCATTCAGTAAAGAAATTATTAACCTATTATTTTGGAGAACCTATGGATTTGCGATGAATTGCTAAAATAAGTAAGTAGGAACCTTGTTCAACAAAGGAAAGAGGAATCACCATGACATTGTGAGTTAAATGTCAAAGACAGAAACAGACTTTCATGACAAGTGTTAAAATAGCTGGGATGGGGGAAGCTGGCAAGAGCAGCAGCATCAGGGTGGACACAAGAGTAAAAGGAAGCACATACCCAGTGTTCTTCAGTAAATGTTTCCATAATACAATCTTGATCCTTTTCAAGACATGGAAGAAAGCAGAACTCTCAAACTATGTCTCCACAATGGGGATACTCATGCCACCCGCATGTTTCATGGGTATGGTTGTTTTCGTAAGTCTGCTCAGCAACATTGAAGAGTATCACTGTTTGAGAAGGTTTGGATTTGTTTTTGTATTAATGCTATTGCGAAAATTGGAGAATTTGCTGGTAAAGTTTTCTTGGTGGGGGACGGGTTTGCAAAATGAAAACATGCCTTTGGAAAGAATACATTGGTGAATGTTATTTTTTTCTCCTTAACATTGAATTGAGTAGTCACATCTGGAAAAGATATTATTTTTGGCTCATTAAATTTTGCTGAACTTGACTAAGGGTTACAATAGGTTGAAAATGTCAGCTTTTGTTTGTGCCTAACACAAGCAGTCTCTTCTCCAACTTGACCATGGACAAACTGATTACTCAGACTTTTTTAACTAAGAAAATAATTATTGTGATAAAAGTTATTTGATCAGTGAAGATAACAATGAGTTTAATTCACTTATCAATTCTAGTTTCTGGGATACCTCAGCCTATGGCAAAATGATAACCCACTTCTCTCTGTGAATGGGCACTAATGTTTCAAGCACTCCAGAAGACATTAGGGTCTTTCCCTGTTTTGTTTTCATCAGTGATTCTATTTACATTCCAGTGATCTCATATTCCATATCCATGTGTTGAGTTAGCACCAAAATTCTCTATTAATCTGAAAAAAAATCACCATTCACCAACCCCTGGATTCAGCCTGTCACAAAGCCAAGAAAGCATGACGCATGTGCGCTGAATTTTCCTCCAGATGGCGCTCCAAGGCAAAGTTTCCCAACCAGTTGCCAGGAAAGAAGCGTGTGGAGAAAATCTCCTAACCTTCCCTGAAAGTGCTTCTTTTCTTCTAAGACAGGAGATACTGAGGCACACACCCCACGCTTCTTTATTAACAGAGACACCAACAAAGTCAGTGTGTCCGAAAAGAGCCCCTCCTCTCAGGCCGAAATTATTATGCCTGCCTCCTCGGTCCAGGAGCTGTTAGCAGGATAATACGGCAGGCACTCTTCGTGTGACCTTACATCTGTGGGTGTGTATTTTTCCGAGCCCATTGTCTCCAGGAATGGGAAGATGCATAGCTGTGTGTCATTGCTGAGCAAATTATGAAACCATGTGCAACAAGACAAGCAAATTATAAATATGTGCACTAGCTTCCTAACCTTTAACCCTAAAATCATTTCAAACGCGGAAAATAAATGTATTGACTGGGAATTGTGTTTTGTAAAAGTAGTCAACCTCATGTCTAGGTAACAAAGCAGTTTTGTTCCTTTAGAAATAAAAAAAAAAAGAACTAATTGCTTTGTAGGATAGGCATTTTGATATAAAATGGTGGAAATTTAGTTCACTGGGAACCCTAGTAATGACTACTAATCTATTCCATGACTCTGGGCTGAAATTCCAATTTTTAAAAAATCAAAGTTTCAATATTATTCTTTGCTTCTAAAGGGGTATTTAGGTAGTTAAAATTTACCAAATATTTTTAATTCCTCAGATAAATACAGTATGTAATGCTACTTAATATTTGTGATTAAAACAAGGAATAAAAATCTGCAGATCAAGAATAGTTATATAAAATCTATTTATTTATGGAAGCTTGTAGAATAAGTATTCCATGAAGCACAGACATAATGAAAGAATTTCTCATATTCACAATGTAAACCAAATAAAGGAAACGACTGCGCTTTTGTTTGTGTTCTGTAAAATAAAAGGCATGCAGTGCTGCCAAGGTTGCAGAGACATTTTTCAGTTTTATAAATGATGTATGAGCTCTGACAGATTTTCCAGGGGGGAAAAAAAAGCTTTCCTTAAGAGTCAGTATTCTTTACTATCCCATAAATGTACTCATTAGCACTTTGGGCCAAGCCCTGCATGCTGTGGGGCTCAATAAAGATTCATTGAATGAGTGGATTTAGTTTAGGGTAATATTATTCAGGGAACCATGTTGCTCGGTGTCCAGTTTTTCAAAAAACTATAAAATGATGAACAACTGTCACCACTAGAAATCTTGTTCTTTCTTCGTATCACACTAAAGTTCAGCTAGGGTTCATAGAGAATGTTATGATCTTGTGGAATTCACTGGATATGAAAAGAGAAGAGCACATGATCACATTAAAATTTATGGTGGTACTGGCGGCATGGCGCTGGTGGGGAATTGCAGTTAAACACTAATAATACCGGAGTATCGCAGCAAACACACTGACACCCCCTGACATTTACTGGGGGCTTCTTAAATCTCAAATGTGGAGGGAGCATGTTTAAGTCCATATTTGTGTTGTCAACAAGGTTATTTTCAGGGATAAGCCAAGTCGTTTTATTGATAATTCAAACTAGAAAGCAGAAGGGACGTCTAGGGAGAAAAACCGTCCTATTCACCAGCTTGAGGATAATGCGCTGTCTGCTGTCTGCCGTTTTCAGGGAAGTCTTTGATTTTTGAGGTAGAAAATTTCTTCTGGAAGATCTTAGACGCACAATTGGAATCCTCCCACCAAGAAGGACAGAACTAATTGAATTTTTAAATAAATATTTTTGCTCAATAACCAGAATCTTAATCTCAACAGAAATCTAATTTCTTTGTAGATTGTAACATTGGAAGGTACAAAGAGAGCTACATGTTTTGTTCTGTAAGTGACTATAATAAAGTAACAGTCATATTTTTAATCATCAAACATCATTTTACATTACATTTTGTTCAATATAAGTAGTAACTAGTTATATTTACTTTAAAATAAATGGCAGCATTATCATAATACAATAAAATCTGCACATTATAAAAACAAATTCTTTAATCTTCATGTAGGTATATTTTGATTTCCAGTGTAACTTCAAAGTTGGCAGTTTTTAATTTAGGAAAGCAGTGGTTTTTAACGTTTTTGCAGAATATCAGCACTGGGCACTATAAATTAACTAGGGAGCTAATCAATTTGAATACTGTGTTTAAATTACATTTAAGACTCCTGCCTTTTAATCATTGAAGAAGGTTTCTATTTTTATTCTCTC